AGTGCTTGCCCTGCGATTTTTATGATTTATTTTTCATTTTTTTAAATTATGAAAGTGGAGCAACTGTGTAAAGATTTTAATTATTTTTCAGAGAGAGAAGAAGATTGGGAGAATATTGGAAGAGAAACATTGTTGTGCCAGATAAATATTGATGGGCTGTCTCTAGCAGCAGCCCAATGTGGTATCTGGCCTGCTGCCCACTCATGTGCACTGATTCAGAATCAAATAGTACACCTTTCTGTTGTACACTGGTTCTCAATCCACTGAGTGACAACAGTCAGGGCTTTTTATAATTTTGTGTTTTTTGTTTTATAACATTTTATTGAGGCATGTGCCCTGACTGGGAAATGAACTGGCAACCCTTTGGTCTGTAGGCAGGTGCTCAATGCACAGCCACACCAGTTGGGACTGTGAGGCTTGATTTTTAGGAATGTTTTTTGCCACTCATGGTGGGCAAATTGTTTTTATTTTATTAAATTTTTTTTTATTTTTGGAGAGGAGAATGGAGACAAAATTTGAAAGAAACATAGATGTGAGTAAATCATTGATCTTTAGTGCACTTTGAGGGAAATTCCATTTTAGGTGAATCTCTCAACCCTTCTGAAGAGGGGCCCTTTGTCTCACCTCACACACTTTTCTTTTAAAGATTTTATTTATTTGTTTTTAGAGAGAGGGGAAGGGAGGGAGAAAGAGAGGGAGAGAAATGTCAATCTGTGGTTGCCTCTCATGCACCACAACTGGGGATCTGGCCCACAACCTAGACATTAGCCCTGACTGGGAATCAAACCAGTGACCCTTTGTTTCACAATCTGACACTCAGTCCACTGAGCCACACCAGCCAGGACTCACTTCCCACACTTTTGTGGAGTGTGGGCACCCAGATGCCCAGGACAGACTCAGGCTTTCAGTCTCTCCCATCTGGGCTCAGTGCCTGGAGGCTGCTCAGTAAAAAATTCATTGAGTGAATCCATTCAGGCAGGGAGACTAAGGGAAGACTTTCATAAGGAGTTCTATTTAAAAAATTAAAATGAAATAAGTGCAACAATAAAGGGGGACAGGAGGAAACTGTGGGATGTGGTGGATGAGTTTGTGACCTCGGTGGTAATTTCAATAGATTATACTTACTGGGTTGGTGAATAAGTTTGTTATGTTTTTTCTGTAAAGTAAAAGACTCATTTTCACTAGTAACTTTGTTGTTTGGCTATTTTGACATCAGCGTCCTCAGTGCTCCAGTGTGTTGTTTAAGCCTCAGGTCTTGACCCACCAGATCCACCCAGAATCTTCCTCCATGGACCCAACCTGAGATCACCCCTTCTGATTTCCGAGACACCCCTGAGAGCTGCCACTGTTCAGGCACCTGTAGTGATGGTATTGACAAATCTCAACAGGGTCCGTAGCAGGGGTTTCTGTCTAATATGTGTGAGGTGATATGACATTGTGGTTTTAGTTTGCAGCTCTCTGATGATGGGTGTCATTGAGCATTTTTCATATGTACATTGGTCACTTGTGTGTTGTTTGCCTTCCTGTGATCAGAGCCACAGTTTATTTGTCTATTTATGGTCCACCCAGTGTACTTTGCCTCTAAGCACACTGAGTCCTTAGAGCCTTCAGAGCTCCACACCTTCTCAACCCCACATCAGGAGCATCCTCTGTACCTTCTTGATCCTCCCAGCCCACCTGGCTGCATCTCCTGAGTGTGATGAGTGGTGTGCGCTTCCTCTTACAGGGGTCAGTGGCGTTCAGGGATTTGATTGTGGACTTCACCCAGGAGGAGTGGCAGCAGCTGAAGCCTGCATAGAAGGACCTGTACAGGGATGTGATGATGGAGAACTACTGGAACCTGGTCTCACTGGGTAAGGGGCTGCTTCACCACATTACTCACCATGTGCCTGTCACTTCAGGATGACACAAAAATAGAAAATGTGGACAAATCCGACATATAGGACATTCAGATTACTGGAACCTAAAAATGAACTTGATAGATGATGAGGTGGGAAAGAGTATATAGCACATATATAACAGTCAGGATTGTAAGTATATATAGAACTGCTACACATAAATGAGAAAAGCACCAAATGAATGACAGAGAGATGGACCTGGCTTATCAGCATTCAGTTCTCAGATATACAAATGCATGGAGTTACACTTTACAAAGATTTTTGAACTGTACTAGTCATCAAAGAAGTACCAATTGACTTACAGAAATACCATTTTTACCTATGAGGTACACTGGTATGAAAAGAATAGTGACCCTGCCCAGGTGCGGCTCAGTTGTTTGGAGCATTTCCCAACCCAGAAGGATGCGGGTTCAGTTCCGTGTTAGGATACATACCTGGGTTGTGAGTTTGATCCCATATGGCACATATCCAGGAGGAAAACCAGTTAATGTTTCTCACCCTAATGAATGTTTCTCTCTCTGTCACTCTTTTCCCTTGTCCCTCCCCACCCCCTTCCTCCCTATGTAAGACTGTCCTGAGCTGTAGTATAAAAAAAGAAGTAATATCTTCCTGTATTATGAGGGTACAGAGAAAGGGACTGCTTATTTTAGATGCGTGATGTTGGGACAGCTCTTTGGAAAGACTGTTCTGAACCAAATTCAAATTATTCCACTTGTGGAATATTTTGTTAAAAAATCTCCTGTAAGTGTGCCAAAATTTTATAGGAAGAAAATACCAGAGAAATGCCCTAGATGCCCACCTACAAGATTGTCGAAGAAATAAAGGTGTACGATAATGTTGGGAATGAGAAAGGTCTTCAAAGATGAGTACTCTTAGTACTCGAGGACACACAGAGATGTCCCTAATACTGTGGTTCAGTAAAAACACTAACTTTCACAATTAATGTATATTCCCATTTCTTTACCAGCTTTTCTGGTGATTACCTGACCTACAATTAACTGTATATAGTGAAAGCTTATGATTTGACCCATTTTGACATTTATATCCACCCGAGAAATCATTGTCATGATGTAGATATGTCCATTAGCCCAAAAAGTTTTTCTTTCATTTTGCCTACCCTCCAACCTCCAGCAACCATTGTGATATAGTTTGCCTTTTCTACAATTTTTTCTCATATTTTATTTATTTTTAGAGAAAGGGAGAGAGAGGGGAAGAGAGGGAGAGAAACATGAATGTGTGTTTGCCTCTTGTGCACCCACTACCAAGGACTCAGCCCACACCCAGCTATGTGCCTCAATTGGGAATTGAACCGGCACCCTTTAGTTCACAGGCCCGTGCTCAGTCCTCTGAGCTACAGTTCCCAGGGCCTAGTTTAGAATTTTATATATGGAGTCATATGACACATATTGCTTGTTTTTTTTATCTTGATTTCTTACCCTTCTCACATTTCTTTGAGGTTCACTTACATCTACTATATATATATATATATGAATCATTCCCTTTCTTTTTTTTGCTGTTTCTTTTTTACTGTTTTGAGAGAGTGATGAGAATGTGTTAGAAACATCAATCAGTTGTGTACAGTACAAGCCCCAAACTTGGATCCAATCCGCAATATTGGTGGACTTGACAACATTCTAAACAGCTGAGCTAGGCACCCAGTGCAATAGCTGACTTCTTGTTATTGCTGAGTAATATTCTCCTTCTGAGATACATCACCATGTGTTTATCCTTTCACTTGACGATGAATGTCAGGATTGTTTCCAGTTCTAGACTCAAGGGAACATTCTCAATCTCAGGGTTTCTGTGGCCACTGAGGTCTTTAGTGGGGTAGGGAGACAGCTGCTTACCACTCTTGTGTTCTTGTGATTTCCTAGGTAGGGAGGGACAAGGGAAAAGAGTGACAGAGAAAGAAACATTCATTAGGGTGAGAAACATGTAGCAGGATCTTCTCTTTTTTTTAATGTGATTTTTTGTGTAAGATCTCACAGTTTTTAAGTATTTGGATTAACCTTAAAGTGCATATGCAGAGTCTGGACCTCAGGACAGCCACCTTGTCTGAAACAGAGATTGAGGAACCCATGGAACAAGGCATAACAAGCTGGGAGCAGGTGTGGTCCACAGGGAAGGGTTAGTGTACTAAGTGGAGGGGAGAGGAGGCAGCCCAAGGACCAGGTCACTGGTGGGCAGTGTGGGCATGTGGGAGCTTCCTTGGCACGTGGGAACACAGAGGACAACCAGCACAACCATAGGAGAATCAACTCTTATTTTATCCTTAGTAATAACAGGCAATGCTTTGAGAAGCACAGCTGTCTGGGGAGGTGCAGGACCAGGATTGGAAGCAAGAAGCGAGGTACAGTGAACCAACCCTGGGTGTGTGAGGTCATTAGATGCTCTTCTCCAAGCCTGTTTTCTTCCTCTGTCTCTTCTGGATCTTTCTTCACAACCCTGAGCTGTGGTGGCTGCCTTCGCACCCACTGCTTATCGAGCCTTTCTCGCTCTGTGCTGACCTCCCTATAACTCACTGTCTCAGATCACAGCTTCCCTTCTTCCTTTGTCCCCATGACTGATTGTTCCCTACTCTGCAACAGTATCTTGTCATATCTTGTTAATATCCTCCCTCCCAGTGTGGTTAATTGCATGCGTTTTGTCATCTCTTTCCCCTTCCCCTCAGATGTGGAGACTGAACAGAACATCAATGAACTGGACCCAGAGAAAGACTCTTGGGAAGATAGACCATCCATTGTGGTGGTGGTGGAAGGACTCATGAAGAATGGAGCCTGTGGTTACTCCTGTGAGAAAGCGGGGATACAGGGCGACAGGGTGGGGCATCTACACAGGCGCATGGGGACCTGTCTGGAGCATTTGGACATGTCTCAAGTGTTAGCCACTGAATGTTGTGCATTTAAAGCATTCATCCACCAGAGCCCCATGCTCCACCAAGAGTGGAAGGACCAAGAGGAGAGGGGACACACTGTTTTACCATGTGTGGGAGGAACTCAGGTACTTCTCGCTGCAGTCCTCCCTCCCAACTTTGTGCAGAGATGACATACAAGTGGGGACACTGTGACAAGGGTTTCAGCTATAGTTCATCCCTGGGGAAACACCAACAAATCCACACTGGGGAGAAGCCATATATGTGTGGGGTGTGCAGCAAGTCCTTTAGCCAGGAGGATAACCTCATCCTACACCAGAGGACGCACACCAGGGAGAAGCCATATGTGTGCAGGGAGTGCGGCAAGGCATTCAGATGGAATAGTCACTTCATCAAGCATCTGAGCATGCACTCCGGGGAGATGCAGTACACGTGTGGGGATTGTGGCAAGGCCTTCAGGAAGAGAAAGTACCTTGTCCAGCATGAGAGGACACACACTGGGGAGAAACCATATGTGTGTGTGGACTGTGGGAAGGCATTCAGTCAGAAATTGAGACTTAATTTGCATGAGAGGACACACACTGGGGAGAAGCCATATATGTGCAAGGACTGCAGCAAGGCCTTCGGGAAGAAGTCGAGCCTCAATTTGCATGAGAGGACTCACACTGGGGAGAAGCCTTATGCGTGCAGCATCTGTGATAAAGCCTTCAGGGAGAATAGGCACCTCAGTCAACATCAGAGGTTGCACACAGGAGAGAAACTGTACATGTGCGGGGACTGTGGCAAGGCCTTCACTGTGAACAGCAGCCTCATGGTGCATCAGAGGACGCACACTGGGAAGAAGCCATATGTGTGTGTGGACTGTGGCCAGGCCTTCACTGCAAACAGGACCGTCATCTTGCATCAGAGGATGCATACTGGGGAGGAGCCTTACACATGTAACGACTGCAGCAAGGCCTTCAGCCGGAAAAGTTACCTCATTGTGCATGAGATGACGCACACTGGAGAGAAGCCATACTCCTGTGGGGACTGCAGCAAAGCCTTCAGCCAGAAGTGGAACCTCTATATGCATCAGAGGATGCATACTGGGGAGAAGCCGTACATTGTGGAGACTGAAACAACGCCTTCAGAGATAATAGGTACCTCATGGAGCATCAGAGGACGCACAGTGTGGAGAAGCCTTATGTATGCTGAGACTGCGGCAAGGCCTTCAGAGAGAATAGGCACCTCATCAAGCATCAGATGATGCATAGTGGGGAGAAGCCGTATGTGTGCGGGGACTGTGGCAAGACCTTCAGAGAAAACAGGCACCTCATTGACCATCAGAGGATGCACACCGGCGAAAAGCAATACAGGTGTGTGGACTGTGGCAGGCCTTCAGCAATAAGTGTAGCCTCGTTAAGCATAACAGGATGCACACCGGAGAGAAGCTGTATGTGTGTGGGTACTGCAGCAAGGCCTTCAGCAGGAAGTGGTATCTCACTGGGCATCAGAGGATGCACACCGGTGAGAAGCCATATTTGTGTGGGAAGTGTGGCAAGGCTTTCAGCTGGAAGTCTATCTTCACTGTGCATAAGAGGACACATAGTGGGGCAAAGCCATATGTGTGCCGGGACTGTGGCAAGGCCTTCAGCCAAAAATCAAACCTCACTGTGCATCAAAGGACACATACCAAGGAGGAGCCATACACGTGAGGGTAGTCTGGCAAGGCATTTAGCAAGAACTCCTCATTCAGGCAGCACAGGCACCAGACACTAGGAAATAGCATTGCTAGTGCTCCATCTGCCAGAAGGACTTCATGACATTCTCATCCCTACAGAATATCCTCACCAGATCCCTGTGGAGAAGCTTTATAAGTGCAGCCAATGTGTACAAAGCTTCATAAGGAACCTTTGCTCCCTGTTCACGGGAGGGTGGTTTGGGAGACAAGCCCTACGAGAATGGTAAGTATAGGAAAACCTTCAGCAGGAATTTCTGCCTCATGTTGCACATAGCATGGAATTGGGGGATCTTAGAATCCAAACCCAACTGGTGGGTCCTGAGCCCATGGGCCAGTGCCAGACTTGGTATTGGAGCCCATGGGTAGGACACAAGAGAAGTCCTGATCAGACTTGTCTTAGGAATATGGGCAGTGAAGATGGTGCCAGGGGAGCCAAGGGACCTGTCTGGGGCATTTGGACATATACCAAGCATTAGTCCCTGATAGTTGTGAATTTAAGGCATTCATTCAACAAAGCCCCATGCTGGCCCCAGCAAGATCAGAGGGATGGAAAGGACCGGGAATGCACCCGTTCACCATGTGTAGGAAGGACTCAGGGGCTTCAATCCTCTGTCCTCCCTCAAAATCTATTGTAGAGAAGAAGCCCTATGAATGAGCAGACTGTGACAAGGCTTTCAGGTGTTGCTGGTCTCCAAAGGAGAAGCAAGGAATCCATACCAGGAAGCAACCCCAATGCTGCAACATGAGTGGAAAGCAGTTCAGTTTTTAGTCGTATATCACCATCCACCAGCAGGTACACACCATGGAGAAGCCATACCTGTGTAGGGACTTTGGCAGGGTCTTCGCACGTTAAAAAAGCCGCATCAGTCACCACAGGATGCACACTGGGGAGAAGCTGTATGCATGTGGAGACTGCAGCAAGGTCTTCATCCAGAAAGGGAATCTCATCAGACACCAGAGGACTTAACACTGGGGAGAAGCCATATGTGTGCCAGGACTGTGGCAAGGCCTTCACTGCAAATAGTAGCCTCATGGTGCATCAGAGGATGCACAATGGGGAGAAACCTTACATGTGTGGGGACTGTGGCAAGGCCTTCACCCAGAAACTGTACCCCATCACACACCAGAGGACACTGGGGAGAGGCTGTATTTGTGCCAGGCTGTAGCAAATCTTCATGCAGAACAGGAGCCTCATTGTACATCAGAGGACACATACCAGAGTGAAACCTTATGCATGTGGGGACTGTGGTAAAGCCTTCAGACTAAATAGGAGCCTCATCATGCACCAGAGGATGCACTTGGGGGAGAAACCATATGCATGCCAGGTCTGTGGCAAGACTTTTACCCAGAAAGAGTACCTCATCACACACCAGAGGACATACCAGGCAGAATCCCTACATGTGTGGCCAGTGTGAAAAGGCCTTCAGCCAAAACACGTCTCTCAGGAAGCACCGACGCATGCACACTGGGGAGAAATCCTACAAGTGCAGCCAATGTTGCAAGGCCTTTAGCAAGAACCACTCTCTTAGGAAGCACAGGCATGTGCGCATTGAGGAGCACCCTACCAGTGCTCCATCTTCCAGAAGTGCTTCATGAATGCTCATCCCTGCAAGAGCAGCAGAACAACGACACATTGGAGAAGCCCTATAAGGGTAGTCAGTGCTACAAAGCCTTCGTCAAGAACATCTTGCTCCCCGTCCACCAGAGGTTCCATGTGAGACAAGCCTTATGAGTGTGGCAAGTGCGAGAAAACTTTCAGCAGGAACTTCCATCTCACATGACACCAGAGGAGGATGCACATGTAGCAGGTGTGTGTGAGATCTCAGAGTCCATACCCGTCAGACAGTTCATGAGCGTGGGGGCCAGTGCTAGACTCGACATTGGAGCCCACAGGTAAATGCAAGGGAACTTCTGCCCAGAGAGATCTGAGGACTGTGGGCTGTGGGGTCAGTCCATGCCATGCTCACCAGTTGCTTCCAGAGCATCCACAGGGCTGTGTGGAAAGCAAGTCCCCATACAGGTCTAGTATCTGGGAGCATGGCCAGGGGCACTGTGGCTCCAGACTGAACTGAACTGGAATACTCCTATGAGATTGGACAAGGCATTTAGTGTCTCTGGATCTTCATCTCTTCAATAGTAAAGTGGAAGAGGGGAGTAGAAAAGAAGAGGGGGAGGTGGGCTCCGTAGGGATATTATCAGTTTGTCACACATGCTGGATGTAGTCCAGAGATCAGATTGTTGCCATCTCTGTGTTTTCTTGTTTTCCCTAAACACAGCCCCGTTTCCCTGCAAAAGCAGCTGGAAGGCTGCAAGCTCATGAGCTGTATGAACTACCAGGTGGTTCACACAGAGAAAAAAATACTCTTTTTATGATTAGGAAGTAGCAGTTGTCACTTCAGATACCAAAGTCTCTCATAGTGGTCTCTAAAATTAAAAAATAAATAAACAAAACTTAAATAACTCGAATGTCATCTTTTTTTCTAAAATTTATTTGTTTTCAGAAAGAGGGTACAGGAGGGACAGAGACAGGAAGAGAACATCAATGTGTGAGAAGGCCTGAAACCTAGGCATGTGCCCTTACTGGGAGTCCAATCAGCAACCTTTCAGTTCACAGGTTGGCTTCCAGTCCACTGAGCCACACCATCCAGGGCCACGAACATCATTTTAAACAGATGTCAGGTGCAAAAGCGGGAGTTACTGGTTGTCCCATCCAAATGAGTGTCAACCATTGAGGGGAGGGAGCACAAATACCCCACAAGGTCACAGCAGTAGGTTGCAAGCCACGTGTCCCTTACAGCCCTCGATTCATGGCTTGGGAATGGTTACACTATGCCTGATGTCCATTATGAGAGCAGTTTCCCGGGGATTTGCTCGTTTGCATAATGATGGGGAAATATTAGGAGGAAATTACATTTGTCTATCTCCCCACCACACGCATATTAGGACCAGCAATATCCAGAGGTGAGTTATTTCTTATCTCCTTTTATCCTGGATGCTCATTTACCCAATACACATTCCCCAATGGATGAATTTTTATAGGGGTATTTTCCTTTGCCCAAACTTTTCTTTCTTTCTTTCTTTCTTTTTTTTAAGATTTTATATATTTTTAGTGAAGAAGGGAGGGAGGACTAGAGGGAGAGATACATCAATGTGTGGTTGCCTGTCATGTGCTCCCTACTGTGGACCTGGCCTGGAACCTTGGCATGTGCCCTAGACTGTGAATCAAACTAGTGACCCTTTGATTCGCAGGCTGGGTTCGGTCTCTTGCCCACCTGGCCATGATACTACCCTGTCAGTTGGCTGGAGTTTGTGGCCCCGGAAAACACCTGGCTAAAGTTAGAGCCTGCTTCCTGGAGGAAGCATGAAACCAGACAATCTGAGCTGCCTGGGTGAGTGATCAGCGACAACTGCGGTTCCCATAGATGGTACTTTGAAGCAAGATCTCGACATGGCCTGGTTGGGCTGAGGACAGCTGGGGTCTTCCTCGGTTTTTCGGAGGAGACAAGTTTTGAGACAATTATCTGCCACTCTCCCCGACCCTGCATTTGAATAAAAGACCTCTTTCTCATCAGCCTCTGTCCCTAGAGCTTTCCTATTGGGGGCGACAGGCAGCAGAACCCCCACATTGTTTCTGTAACAGTAACAGGCTGGCACTTAAGGTGAAGAACCGATACTTACTTTGTGTTTAAGATCATTTGCTTACTGCCGTCCCTGCACCCTTTACATATTTTCAGCAAGTCAGCACGCCTATGAGGGCTGAAAGTCAGAGGGCAGGACCTCTTGGCTGGGGGGCGGATCTTATACCCTTTTTCCCGCCTCCACCCACGCCCCGCTTTTTGTGCAATTTCCCCGTCTCTATTTCCCCTCCAGCTCACTCCGCTTTCAGTTTCCCCCGCGTACCGCTATGAACCCCTCTCTGGCTCTCCTCCCACAGTCACTGGTCCCCCCACTCCTCCCGGGGTCCTGTCCTTCTCCGTAGTTCCCTCGGGCTGCCTGATACACTGTGCTTACTACGCCCTGCAGCCCCAGGTGCCCCACGAACTCTGTCTCACTGACGTCGTGCCGCGGGGTCTGCTGGGATACGAAGCATCGCGTCCGCCACCTTGAATCGCTGCCCCACCGCACAGCTCGCTCTGAGGGAAGCCGGAAAAAGAGGACTCGGTGGCGCAGGGCAGTTTGGGAAATGTAGTAGGCCGGGCCGCGCAGGCGCAGTGCCGTCGGGGTGCCCCACGGAAGCCGTTCTCTTTCGTGAGATAAACGCGTAGTGAATTTGAGCGCGGACTGCGCAGGGGCTTTAGGAGACTGAGCGCGGCTCTGGGTGTGGTGGCACGGGTGAAGGTAATGCCTGTGGCTGTGAGTGTGTGTATGTGTGGGGCTGAGACCCCCGGGCGGTCTCTTTGTGTGTCTGTGTGTGTCACCCGGTGTGTGTCACCGCGGGTGTGCGCGAGGCCACCTGTGTTTTGCCTTTGCTCTTGTGTGTGTGTGTGTCGGCTGCAGGTCTTTGTCTCTCCGGGGTCCTTCTTTGTTCCTGTGTGTGCGTGTCTGCCTTAATTTCAGTCCGAGGTGTCTCCGTGTGAAGGCACCATCCCGATGTGTCTTCCTGTGCGCCTGTGTGTCTGGGTGTGAGTGTGTCTGTGTGTGTAGTGGGGGGGGGCGGCTGTCGGTCCTGCGCGACTCTTCCCCTGTCTGTGTGCATCTGCATCTGTGTTTCTGGGCGTTGCGGACATTTGTGAGTGAGTGCGTCGAGGGTGCCCTCCCGAGAGCGTGGAGACCACGACCCTCCTGGACAGGCGGGCCTGGCAGAGCTGCCAGCCTGCGGGCGTCTGAGCCCATCTCCTTCCCGCCTTCAGAGCCTTCAGGGCAGGGCCTGTGTGGTAGCCAGGTTTGAGGTGAAGAAAGAGAGTCAGAGACCCTACCTAATGCTGACCAGGGTGGACTTTGTTCAGGGAGGGTGTGTTGCGTGCCCAGGGTATCGTTCTGGGCATTGTACAGGCTGCATGGTGACTTTTTTGTACATGGTGGACCTTCACCATGTACAAAATGGGAAACAGGCTCAGAGAATGGTAACTGCATTACCCAACTCCACACCCAGGCATCCAGGTACCAGAACACCCATACTAAACACCCCACAGTGGGAAATCTTTGTTTCTCCTAAGAACAATGGATAGCAGGAAATGTCAGAAAGCTTGGACCCAGGAGGAGGGGGAGGAACAGGAGCAGCGGCCACCCCTGGCTTTGCAGCCCCATATCTAGGGCCAGTCTGGGTTCAGGGATCACCAGCCCCATGTACATGCTATTTCCAGGACCACCGTGTCTTCATGGCCTCCTTTTAAATAAAGTAAACTTGGAGTAGTGATTGTATTGCTGTAAGGAGAAAAAAAAGTCCAGGCTGCATTAGATTTGCATTTAAAAAATGATGATGCATCCCTTTTATTTTTTATTTAAAAATTTTATATGTTTATTTTTAGAGAGGGTAAGGGAAGTAAAAAGAAAGGGAGAGAGACATCAGTGTGTGGTTGCCTCAGGCTCTCCCTACTGGGCACCTGGCGTGCAATCCCTGCATATGCCCTAGTTTGGGAATCAAACTGGGGACCCTTTGGTTGGTAGGCTGGTGCTCAGTCCACTGAGCCACACCAGCTAGTGCTGAAATGATGACATTTTTAAGGGCTCCTATTGCCGACAGCTGTCCTGTGCCCGCTGTGCCTCCTGGGTAAATCAGACCCAGTGGGGAGGAGCCAGAGGGTCTTGTTCCTCCCTCCAGTCTTGGGACTGGCTGTGTGGGCATGCCTGTGTGTTGGGGGAGTATATGTATGTGGGTATGACAGCACATGTTGGTGCACACCAGCACATGGATCCTGATATACTAGCTCAACCCAAATCCCACCCTTATCTTCTTGGGTTCCTGACTTATCTTTTAGTGCCGCAGTTTCGTGATCTGTGAAATGGGGTGAGTGAAAATAGCCCCAGCAATGCAGGATGTCAGGTGGATCAAATCAGGGACATGAGTCAAGGACCTCGGATGCCATAGGCCCCCTGTGTACATTCACTGTTAATATGTGTGACTGTCCTCGTCTGCCTGTCTTCTAGTGGGTGTGTCTGTCATGTCTGCATTGCAGGTCAGGCCTCAACCTGATCTCTTCCTGTGCCTTTTTCTCTCTTTCCCTGTGCACAGTCTGCCTGTGCCCAAGTCACCATAGGCGCTGGAAGGATGGCCACCCAGCTTCGGACCAAGGATTCCCTGGTAAGTCCTGTCACCCTCTGGCTCCTTCTTCCTTAGGGTCATGTTTCTGGGCAGGGATCCCCCCAACCCCATCAGGCCTCAAGCCCCTTTCCCCATCTTCTGAGGTTTTGTCCACCCTGAGTTGAGAGACTCTGTCCTGACCATGGTGTTTTGTTTTTTTTTTTCTTTCTTCCTCTTCTTTTTTTTTTTAAATATTTTTATTCATTTTCAGAGAGAGGGGAAGGGAAGGAGAAAGTGAGGGAGAGAAACATCAATGTATGGTTGCCTCTTGCTTGCCCCTTGACGGAGACCTTGCCTGCAATCCGGGCATGTGCTCTGACTGGGAAATGAACTGCAACCCTTTGATTTGCATGCTGAATCCCCTGAGCTACACCAGTCAGGGCTGACCCTGGTGTTTTTCAACCGCAGGGGACAGAATCGCTCAGGAGTGAGGTGCCCTACCATAAGGGATCTCAGGAGACACCTGTAGGCATCTGGGATATGGCAGCTTCAACATATTCAGTGAAGTGTGACAGGCCTCGGGCAGGAAATGCTCAATGTGGCACGTTCAGAAGTATGCAGGGGTACTACATGCCCAGGAGAATGGAGGGGGATGGAAGGAGATGCCTGACATGAGGGACCAGTGAATGTCCCTGGTTGTTATTGTGATGTTTCATGATGTTTTAGTGGATGGTAATTTGTTGTATTTTTCTCTAAATTTCCTTCTATGAAAGAAAAACTTTACAATAAAAAATGTACAGATGTGGCTTAGTTGGTTAGAGGATAATTCTGATATGCCATGGTTTGGGTTCAATCCCTGGTCAGAGCACTTTCAAGAAGCAACCAATGAAATCAAGAAGTGGAACATAATTTTTCTATCTCTAAAATCCAGAATTTATATATATACATATCTGGAGGTAAGTGTATTTCTTTTATCATCAATAGAGGATATGTTCATTGAGTTGTAGGCAGAGAAAGAAAGAGCAGGAGTGAGACACAGATGTGAGAGAGGAATTTTGATGGGTTGTCTCCCACATGTGCTACAACCTGGTACAGAACTCATAATTATTTCCTGTCTAGGACATTTTTCCAACCAACTGAGCCACCTAACCAGGGCTGGGCATAAATATTTGGCCTTCATCTTGTATGATTTTTAAATTTCATTTTTAAAAATTATGCAAGTGGAGCAACTGTGTAAAGATTTTATTTATTTTTTAGAGAGAGCAGAAGGGAGGGAAAA